AGTGTTCTACAGTAAATGACACTGTATAACTCCAGGGCACTGTAGGAAGTTTCAATGGATGACTAAATGAGACTTCACACAAAAACAAGATTTACTTAAAATCTGGAGTTAGTCTCCTATTATTATTATATTAAACATGAAACTCAGTTTGTTTCTGAACTTCTAATAGACCCATTGGGCCTGTTTTTTGCCCTACCCAGGCTCCGGAGGCTTTATTGAAGCCTAGAGAGGGTGAAAATGGCCCTCCTGAAGGCCGAAAACTAGCTGGCCGGCGCGCACGTGCATGCTGGAACTGACAGCTTGCATGCCAGCAGATATGGCTATATTTAATATAGATTAAAAAATATTAGAATGAACAACATAAGATGAAATTTGAAATGAATTATGTACAAATGATTGTGTACAAAATGTGATTGCTAAAATGTACAAACCTCTGTTGAGAACAAGTTAAAGAATGTATGATAAAAAAGGGCTAGGAATTTTGGTTATAATTCACAAATGGACCAACGGGAAAGAATGTATTTAAAAGAACTAAAAATTACATTGTGTTATAATTTAAAAGGGAATTTTCATGAAAACAAAATTGGTATGTGTCTTCAGAGAAATTAACTATGACAGGGTTGTCAAAGTTGCTGCCTGCAGGCCGGATGTGTCACGCGCTGTCCATGCCCTGTTTAGCAAAGGGGGAAAAGGTCCCGATGGGCCACGTGACATCACCGTTATGATGTGAGTTTGACACCCCTGATCTATGATGTATAAAGTATTTTTAATCAGTGTTGCAAATGTAAAATGTAAAAAACACCAAAGAACATTTTATCATGTGTGGTGGACATGAATACACAATGACCTAAAGTATTTTAAAAACTAGTAATTAAGAAACCTGAATTCTTTTGGACTTATGGACGACCAATTAGAAAAGACTTATGGAAAGTTGGTGTTTCATATGGTACCTCATTGAAACTACAATGTGCACAAAGATGAAAAATACTGAAATACCCACAATGGCAAAGTGGATCCTGAAAGAAAATCCAATTCGCAGAAATGGCAAATTTGTTCCGTTTGATCAAAACTAAAATAACGTCTCTTTAAATACCTTTTTCTTTTTGATTTTTCTATCTGTCTTGCACTTTTCTTTTCTCTTTTTTAAAATTTCATAATATTTTTTTAATATGTATGTATGGGGCTCCTTGATTTATGAACAGTCCAATAGATCTACTTGAAACACTTATGATCTGGATTTGAAGTTCTGAAGGTAACTTGCGCCCATGGTCACATGATTGCACTTTGGGTGCTTGGCAACTAAGCCACATTTTCGGCTGTTAGCAGCATCTGACATGACTCTTTTTCTGAGAGTTTTGCATTTCACTTAACTGTAGATTTGTTTAACAACTGCCACATTTTTTAAAAAAAATGGGCTTGTCATGTGACTGACTTGCTCTATGACCTTCATAAGTTATGACCATGATGGGCAGGTTCCATTGTGGTTGTAACTCAAGGACTACTTGTATCTTGTATTTATATAAAGTACCTAATGAAATTATATCTATGCATACAGAGATGTGTGTGTGTGTGTGTGTGTGTACATATTTATAGAAAGAAATCTACCTTCTGTTTTACCATTTTAAACTTCATGCTGCAGGATAATGAAAGATTGTGTAGTATTTCCTGGTCTTTGTTTATTACCAGTTTGCTAAACGTTATCGAACAAAACATGATGTAATGTGAGTTTTATATAATACTGATAAAGAAAGCTGGAAAATGTTCAGAAATGTTTCCAGTCTAATCCAGGGACAGTGGTGATAGGAACACTATCTCTTTCTGCTGCTGACATATAGATAATATGGTCTCCCTTCTGTATTTGCTATTTTCTATTAAGCCATCTTTGTTTTCAATAGTCAATATTGAAAAGTCTTATGGGACTACTTACTTCTATGGAATGAGACATAAATTCTGCAAAGTACGTTATTTCATTAAATGCTAACTTGCCTTGGTAACAATCTTCTCTTTCAGACAGTGGAAAAAAGAATAAATGATTCAGTTGATCTTCTCTTCCAATCAGTAGAGAAAACTTAAGTTGCCTTTTCAGTTGGTCTTGTCATGACTGTGGGCCACCAACAGTTTTCTTGCAAATGAGAAGGGATGTCTTCATTACCTCCCCTGCCCCTCTTACAAATGCATATTTCAATGGGGTTTCCTGCTTCATATTTACATTTTTCCTGATATACCTTAATATCTTCTAGAACTAGGTAACTGTTCCCTACAGTGACAATTATATGCAATAGCAGGAGATTACTTATTATTATTTATAATTAATGTCAGGAAAATCTACACATGCTAGACACACAATGCAATACTGACAGCCCAGAGTGCTATTTCATTCTGTTCAGCGCTTGTGTGCCTATCTTTGCTGCAGCAAGGGAGTGAACTAGTTTTACACTGTTGTGGTCCACCGGTGGCTTGCGGAGCTGGCAGAAGAGTCAAACAGTGAGGAGGTTGGGGAGGAACATGGGCCAGTCCTGGAGTCTGGGGAAGCTCAGATGAGGGCTCTGCGTCAGAAGCAGAGAGGGGGCCAGGGCCATCTGGGAGTTATGTGCTGCCTCCGGAGCCTCCAGAGTCAGACATCAGCGAGGCAGAGGAACAGGGGAGCCTGAGTTCCCACTGAGTGCATGTGCAGAGCTGCCAGAAGGCAAGAACAGTTAAGACAAAAGGGGCGACTCGGGAGTAAGGCTTGGAGATGATTGGCCCCTCCCATAAGACATAAAGGAGGAGCAAAGGCAAGTGAGCCTTTGCAGGAAAAAACTTTGTTCATTTTGGTTGGTTTAAAGTCTGAAGCTCTGTTTTGACTCTGTGCTCCCTGTGACTTTGCAAAGCTAATTGCCAATTAGATCTTCGACAGCGTTTCAAGGGAGATAAAGGTGGGTGCTTATCAGCCTTATCCCAAAAGACTTTGGCAGACTTCAGTTGGACTCTTTACAAACTATTTGTGACTCATTACGGGCTGTGAATGAACATAATTCACATCCGTTGAAATAAAAAGAGGTTTGCTGGATCTAAGCATGTACTTTGTACTATCTTGGAAGCCTAGGTCAGAACATATACTATCTAGTGGCGCTCAGGTTGCTGGCTTTTCTGGGTTCTTTTGCCAGTCTCGCCTCAACTTATGCTATGATGCCTTGCATCTAGCTAATCTCAATGCCAGCTTCCACTATCTGCGCACACAAATGCAGCCAGATTTTTCCTACTGAAGTGATACCCATTTATCTATTCACAACATTGCATGCTTTCATATTGCTGGGTAGGCAGGAGCTAGGAATCAAGCAGCAGGAGCTCATTCCATTTCACAGAACCGGGTTCAAACTGCCAGAATGCAGGCCATTTCTATCTAGCAATTCCAGGATCATTAACCCTTTGTGACATTGTGTCTCCTAGGATATTACTGTAACATCATCATCATCATCAACAACAACAGTCTTATAGACCCAATTGCAAAAGTTCCTTCCTGGCATTTTCTCAATGTTGGCTTCTAATAATCTCCACTCAGTAATCTCCCCTCAAAGGAAAGTTTTTACAAGAGTTAAATCTCCATTTTAAAGTTTTGCAGAATAATTGTAAATTTCCACCAAGTAGAACTCTTCACCAAGTAGAATTATTTAAAATCCAGGGGGAAAAGAATGGTTGGTAACGGAAAAAAATGTTATTGATGAGATTCTTTGGACATGACAATTCCCAAGAAATAGTACAGAAAAATAGTGTTGAGTTACACCAGGATTTTGTTTGCTGGAGAAATGTTAATAAATATTGATCTCTCAATTTTTAAATAAAAATACATCTGTTAAAAACCAAGGCTATTTTGAATTTTTCTGAGATCTATAAATATTTCAGAGATATGCTTTATGGCATCTTTAATGAGATGTAGGGATGTAGATGGGGAAAAAGACCAATTAAGAAATTAGAGATAATTTTAGAAATATCTATGGTGCTTTCTCATTTATTTTTCCTCAAACACTATTTTAATTATTATCATTTTCTTTAATATGCAGTTCAAAATGCTAATATTCATAATTTTGGTCTTCTAATCTGGTCTAATTTGAAGGACTGACATGTTGGGATAGATTGCACTGATTCAGAACTGGGTCAATGTATTTGCTTCTCTGAATGCTTATCTTTTTTCCCCTTGAAGTAACCAGGATCTGGAGAAGTACTACCAAGTTGAAGAAGAGACCAGTTTTTGAGTGGACTAGCAGAAGCTACTAGAGAAGCTGTCTTCAAAACCAGCTTCCATTTTTATTTTGGCATCTGTCTTTCAAAATTTCTAACCAGCTTTCTGATTAGTACCTAGGAGTAATAATCTGCTTCCTATATTATTTTAATCTTGGAGGAAGCACAGATTATAATTGCTCAATGTGGGATTTAAAGGACTTAAAAACCAAAATAAAATAATTACTCCAGCCATGTATTAATATCATAAAAAACCATTACAGTGTACCAGTTCCACTAATACAATACACATTTCATGTACTAAAAGTTATTTCATGCAAAAAGAAATAATACTGTAGAAAATTTATTTTGAACAGGTATAATAGGGTAAAACATAGCAAACATGTAATTTGTTTTATAGAAATGAGAGAAGTTGCTATAGTGACCTCAGTAGTGTGACAGATTTGTATGGAGGTTTTATCATATTTATCTATATATTTCTCCACCTATCTTTCCCTCTATTGTAATCACACTTATTTCTCAGTCCCATTCTGAACTCTGTACATTCAATTCAAACATTTTGTACTGTAAGAGAACCAAGCTCCTATGCTAATTGGATAAATCAGATTTAACAATGCAGTCAGATAAACAGTTGTGGTAGCTGCTACCATAGCAACGTCATCATGTTCATGTCTTCTTCCCTCCCTCCTCCCTCCTTCCTCCTTCCTCCCTCCCTCCCCCTCTACCCCCTCCTCCTATCCAGTAAGTGACATATTTGCTGATAGTCTGTATGTTTGCAAGGGTTTAATGGCACAGCTCTTTGCTCTGAAGAAGGATTCAAAATGATGAATGAGGATGCAGCTCAGAAGAGTGATGGTGGGGAGAAGTATAATGGAAGTAATCACAGAAAGAAAAGACCCAAGAAGGTAACGTAGATGGGAAAAGCAAGATGTGTGATGGAAGAGTCAGGCAGTAGGAGTGGTCTGAAGTCTTAAAAAACGAAGGTGTAGGCTCCAGCAGCCCTCCAACCTTTGTATTTTCATACCATTAGTGATTTTCCTGTTGTCTAAAACATGGTTATGTTTTTGGTGGATGGTCCTGTGTGATATTTTGCAAAAAGAAAGCAGTAACAGCAGTGTAATCATTAAAGGCACTATGGCGGGTAGAAGTCTCTGGTGTGTAAAGGCTGTAGTAGTGGCTTGTTGTCATTGCTGTTAAATAGCTAATTTGTTGATTAAAAACACAGATTTTGACTGTAGTTAAATGTTGAACAATACAAATATTAATCCCAATTTGCAGTGAACAAAAGGGCTTTTAAAAACACATTGCTGCCTGTTTCTTCAATTACTATTGTTATGCCTTGAAACCTCAGTTTTGTGGTATCATGCTCTGTGTTTTTAAGAAGATAATACCTTTGTGATGGAGAATAATACTGTGAATGAATGGTTAGGCATGTCACCTTGCTTTTTCTGGATTTGACAGCAGGTATTTTCTTATCTTTTGAGATTTATTTCAAATATGTTTAATCAGACAGGTAAAAAAAACTACAGAAAGCTAAATAATCCCACCCCCCCCCCTTAAATCCTGTAACTAAATGCTGGTGATAGTAGGCTACTACAATACATGGCCACACCCAGCTTTCAGTATCTCTATGGGAAAGAGTGCATTTATTAAAATATTTTCAGGCTATGAGATGCATTTTTACTCAGAAGCAATTGCATTATATTTGGTGAGACTGATTTCTATATATTTCTGAGTATGATTGTGTTCCTGGTATTATTAAATTAATATTTACACTGCTTCATCTGTCCTTACATTGAGTTTTTTTTAAAAAAAACCTGCTTCAGCTACATGATTACATTTATTGGTGTGTAAACATAGAATGCAGAAATGCAAATTAACTTCAGAACAAATATCATGCTGCCTATCACCACATATCTTCCTACAAGAGTAGCTATAATGAAACTCCATAGTTATATCTTGAAGAAGATGCTCAGTTCTAGTAGGCTATATAACCCACAGTAGAAAAATACAGCAAATAATCAATGATACATCTTGTTTCATGTTTGTGTAGAATTTACACAAAGCTATAACACAGATTTCCAAAATATAAACCTCTGATTAAATAGGAACTTGAGAGGAATTCAGTACATCAGGATATAAGAAAAACAAACTTGTCAAAACCCTTCAAAATGGGAAGATGAATTTTTCCATCCTTATGTATCAACTTCCTAATTTTAAATAGACATTTAAATATAAATAATAGAAAGAATACTTTTTACTCCAACTGAAGAAAACAAAAGTAGCAAAAGATATGGTGACCCCACCTTGCTGTATAGTGAAGATTATTGTAGTATACCGTAGAATTATTGATTTTCATATCTAAGCAAAATGTATTTATCTCACTTTATTACAGATTATAGGTTTACCCCTTTACAAAAACTAAGATCCAATTTATTTTAAAGTACATTTAAAGTACATTAGCAATCCCAATATCAATGAAAATATCTATTAATAATCCAAGTGGAATTTACTATATTAAATAGGTGTATTTTTTCATTATAATTCCTAATAATTTTAGGCATACAACTTTGTCCTTGATATTTTAAGGACAAAGGTGCTAACAAAGTTCAAAGGTGCTAACAAAGTGTATTCCTTAGCTATATATGTAAATGTCTGGGTATATTTCAAAAGATACACACTAAATTATTTATATATCATGACTGGTCACATACTCAACCAGATGTTCAGAATAGATTTGGCATTTTTATTCACCAGGCATCTGGGATAGGCAGATGTTGTGTGATGATGTTAAAGTTATTGTCACAGGATGTAAGCTGTTTCAGGTAAAGGTGCCTTTTGCACTTGATTTGTGGTGATTTTGTCAATCATGATGGTGTTCAAGTGGTGTTCCAGATGTTTGGGATTGTACCCAAGATGACTATTATTATTGGTAATATCTTTCCTTTCTTTTCCACAATCGTTCTACTTCTGCTTGCAAATCTTCGTATTTTGTAATTGTCTCCAATTGTTTTCCTTTTGGTTTCTGTTGCCTCCGAGTATTACAGTGTACACTATCCAGACTATTTTGTCTTTTAAAAAAATCAATAATTGTTAAACCTTGTACGCTTGCATTCTAAAGTTCCAGACCACTTTAAGCTTTTTCATTTTCTATTACTTTGTGTATTTTGTAGTCCCATCAGTTCTTGCATACAAGCAAGTGACATTTCTTGCAGATACTTCAGTGCCTCTGTAACTTCTGCCGTGTTGTACTTTGTAGTCATTCTGTGTGATTTTTAAGAAGCTGACTAGAGAGTTCACTGTTCCTTCAGCTCCTTTACAGAGGCATCATTTGCTGTAGGTTCTCAATTCTGGCTTTGTTCTTAAGGCTTGGTCTTCTGCAGCCAGAACTGACTCTGCTGTTTTTTCAATTTTCCTGCTCTTATTTATTGCCAGGCCTTGTTGTTATCTGCCTGTTGTTTTTTTCGTACTGGCCATGCAATACTTTGCCTTGTCATGTCTATTTTCTATTATTCCTTTGGTTTTTTTTGTAGGCCAGTTTCATCTCTTGAGTATTCAGTAAACCTTCATGGTGTAACTAGCTCAGTGCATCTTCTTCACCATCCTTCAAATTATTATTATTATTTAAAGGTATTGGCCATTCAACTGCATTGGACTCTACATTGTTATTGTAACTGCTGTAAAGGTTGTTCCAGTTGTATATACAACACACACAAAAAGGGTGGGGTTTCAACCATGCAGTTATGATGCTATCTTGACTTTTTTGACTGCCTTGAAGACACCCCAGTGGCATTCCAAGAAAGGAGGAAGAAAAAATATAGGCCAATCACTCTCTCTCAGCCCAACTCACCTCATAGAGTTGTTGTGACCTTCTCCTGCTTTGTGCCCTCTCTAACCAAACTGACATTTCAAAAGGCAGAATTTGCGATTCCGGGGTAACCATAGTGTTAACTGTTATCTCTTTCAGCCCTGTTTAACTGTGGCCACACACCCTGAACTGTTTTGCAAAAATGTTCTGGCAAATGGTTATAGACAGTAAGCTAGCAAGTGCATCTATTTACACACTCACACAATGTTTAAAAGTGGGTAAGGTCTTGTATGAGAGATCACTCCACAACATGAAAGAGTACACATCCAATATGCTGCAGGAGTACAGGTATCACAGAGTTTAAGCAGGTTTGGGGTAAACAAACTGGAGTTTAAAAGCAAACAGGATTCAGGAACACGAGAGCACAAAGCCAAAGTTTGCTGCAGGTGTTTCTAATGGAAAAGCTGGTTTTATTTATTTATTTGTATCTTGGTTGCTTTGGACATTGGCAATTTCATTTCTTGAAATGTTGTGCAGAACATCTCTACACCGCCCTTTGGAGCTACTTGCGTGTTTTCAGGAGTATTCAAAGAAGGTATATCTGATTTCCAGGGACAGAATATTGTATATTGTGGCCATGTTCATACAAACAAAACTGCCTGGCTTTGGCTTCATTCTACACGTGAAGATATGGATGGAAGCACCAAGAGTTTCTTGTGGGATGCATGCACTGAATGCATGCTGGAAAAAGCAGTCCAGACAATAACTTGATCCCAGGCAGCACCCACACAACCTGTTTTCACCCTTCCTGCTGTGTAACTTATAATAATGCTTACTATTGCCACCACCATTGTCTGTTGCTTTCCAGTTAGACACCATCAAGTTCTAGGCAATAATTATTTTTAACTCTTCTTTCCGGTTGCCTTTCAGTCCACTGAGAAGCTCACTAAGATGGTTTTCTGGGTAGGCAATCCCTGTAGCAAGAACCTTCTCTGTCTTTGCTCTAGATCTAATGCCATTTACAGTCCTGTTAATAATGATAACTTCTGTACCAGAGGTGGTATTCAGCTGGTTCTCTTTGGTTTGGGCGAACCGGAAGCAGTGGCTGCAGGAGACCCCGCCCACCTGCCCCAATGTAATGCACGAGCACCACGCATGCGCAGAAGGTGGTGCACATGCGCAGATGTGGCACGTGCAAGCTAAGCAAGCGCACTTGCGTGCTCACATTTGCAAACCAGTAGGGAAGGTAAATTAATCCCACCGCTGTACTGTACCATATACTTAACTTGGCCTTTTGCATGACACAAAACCAAGTAATAGTAATATCTACTATAGAACACTACCTCCAAGTCTGATTTTAAATTGACTGTTCCACACATAATTTTTGAAGAAGTCCACTTAGAAAATTCTTGCCTGAATTCATAGTTTATGGTTAAAGACTAAGTCATTTGGGTTTGGATGTAAGACACATTTTATAAGAGGTAACCTCAAATCCATCCAAGTGTCCTAATGCATAGTGTAATATTTATAAGATTTACCAGATGGGGTTTTGTAACACTTTAAAAAAAATCTGTTTGTTGTTCTGTGAAACAGATTTCGCTAGGAATGGTTATTTGGGATAGTTTTGTCCATAATAGTGACCTGTGATCATTTCGTTTTTTACATTTGAATATTAAAGTGTATCTTCAAATGTGCTGTAAGATGTGCTGATTTAAGTAATAAATTCATGCTATTTAAGTAGCTGTGTTTATGTGGCTACAGCAACCTTTAAGAACTTGTGGCAACTTAACATTACAGTAAAATATGAATGTAATATTTGGGAAACCTTATAAATATACTTATTGGAAATACAACAGTCTTTAGCATAGCTCTGATTCATACTAATTAACTTTGAAACAATGAAGAAAGATGACTGATGAATTGGCAATTCCATTGAGTTTTAAACAGTTTACTCCAGTCGATAACACTGTGGTGACTGCCAGGGAGTGAGAATGCAAGCAAAGATGAGAAACACATTCTGTTCCTACTCCAAATGTCACTGCTTCATCCGAGACATAATACTTCAGTTAGAGAAAACAGATCTTCTATTCAGCATCA